TGTCACCTTGGTAAGTGTGCGAGGAGTGCCCTCCTCGAGATATACAACGATTCGTGGTGAGAGGGCACCCTCCCAGTTAACTGGAAGACCAGCCGTTTGGTTCCATTACTGAAGCCTGGCAAGTCACCATTGGTGCTCACATCCTACCGCCCGATTGCACTGGCTAGTTGCTTGGGCAAAGTGATGGAGAGGATGGTACTTGGACGGCTAGAATGGTTCCTGGAGCATCACAACATCTACCCGGACGCTATGACGGGATTTCGCCGTGGCCGGTCATCAATTGATAGCGTCATAGTCAACTGCGTGCAACACGAAAAAGGCCGCAAGCGTCTCTGCGCTTCTTTATTTCGTGATGATAAAGGGGCGTACGATAACGTCACACACGAAGCTGTCCCCATCGCTCTCAAGGAGGTAGGAGTGGGTGGTTGGATGTTTCAGTGGCTACGCAGCTATCTCTCTGAGCGATCCTTTATCGTGAGAACTGAGGATGGTGACAATTCGCTACATTAGAGCCACCGTGGTGTTCCCCAGGGTGGCATACTGAGCCCTGTACTATTCAACCTGACGCTAGTAGCTCTCAATGAGCATCTGCCAAGTACTGTCAGATTGTCAATGTACGCGGACGACATCTGCGTTTGGACGTCTGCAGTAACACGTCTACAGCTGCGAGCGCGAATTCAGAGAGCTGCCACTCAAGTTGCTATTTACCTCCGTCAACGAGGTCTGGAAATTTCCTCTGCGAAATGTGCACTTGTGGCATTTACGCGCAAACCAATGCAGAACTACAGCATTCGGATAAACAGCGAAAGGATACGTCACCTCCGATCATACAACTTCCTAGGTTTTATAATTGACAAAGACCTCTCATGGAGCTCACATGTATCATACATGAAAAGGCGATTGACAGGCATCTGTCATTTGTTCAAGTTCTTCGCTGGACAAACTAGGGAAAGTCCACAACTGCTATGTTGCGACTGTACAGGATTCTTTTCCTTGGATTCCTTCGGTACAGCCTACCTGTGTTAACCAACGCAAGTAATACAAACATACGAATGCTTCAAAAGGTCCAGGCTCAAGCACTCCGGATATGTTTAGGCTTGCCCAAAGTGCGTCAACAGCGGCAACTATCGCCATCACAAGGGACAACCTCATCAAGACCCACATTAATGTGTAAGTGCTGAGGACACATATACGACACCCTGCTCGAACCCCTCGGCGTCACCTAGCCTCTCTACCAGTGGTCCGACCATGCACATCTTACTGCAAAACAATGACCGCACATGGTGAGTCGATCCCAACTTCGTTTTCTCCTGCCGCTAGACATGTGACTCCGCCATGGTGCCTCGCTCAACCAATGATTATTATTAACATACCTGGCATCCAGAAAAAGGCCAATTTGTCGACACCGGCTCTTAAACAACTCGTACTACTTCTCTTGTATGAGAAATATCAAGACTTCACACATATATACACTGACGGATCGGTTCAGCCGGACAGCTCTACAGGAGCAGTAGTGATAGCAAGGTTGGCCACGACAATTAAATTCAAGACATCTCACGCAACAACATCAACGGCAGCAGGAATTGGCAGCACTTCGTGCCGCGTTTAAATTTGTAGTTGATCAACCTACACGCAAGTGGACTATTTTCTGCGACTCAAAGGCGGCACTGCAGTCTCTACTATCAGCCTTACGCCGTGGACCACACGAGCAGCTGGTACTAGAGATAGCAGAGATTATACACCACCTGACTGAGAAAGGGAACCAAATTACATTTCAGTGGTTGCCCAGTCACTGCGGAATCATGGGCAATGAACAGGCCGATCAAGCTGCCCGCTCAGCCCACACGGAAGATCATAAACTGCGACTATCACTTTCTAGGACAGATGCTGCACGAAAGCTCCGCAGGCTTGCTCGCCAGCAAACCACATCACAATGAAATCAGCCACGTTTCAAGCATGCCCGACTGTACTCGCTTGACCCTACGCTAAGTCTTCAAGTCCCGTCGGGGTTTTGCCGAGCAGACCAGACCCTGTTATGTAGGCTGTGGTTGGGCGTTGCATTTACCAACGCCTACGCTTTCCGCATTGGGATGGCCGACACTGCAGCCTGTGGCCACTGTGGCAAAGAGGAAACAATCCAACATATTCTTTGTGACTGCCTAGCGTATAGTAAACAACGACTATGCCTTCGCAAGGAACTCAACAAATTAGATGATCAACCTCTGTCGGAGCAGGAAATTCTGCAGTATCGTCAGGATGCGACTTCACAGAAGATGGCCCTGAAAGCGCTACTACACTTTTTGCGATCGACCAGCCTTACTGAACGGCTGTAGCTAGGACGCCCTTCCTGTGTGTGTTTTCGTTTTTTTATGAGTGCGCGTGTGTTTTTTTTATCTAACTACCCCCTCTTTCTTGCCCTTACTACCCCGCCCCCAGCGCTGGGTAGCAAACCAGATGCCAATATCTGGTCAACCTCTCGGACTTTCCTTTCTCACTCTCTCTCTTTATATATCACGACAAATAACGGAGACACCGATCTATATAGGGTTCATCGTGGTATTCCCAAGAAGATGTTATCAGCCCGATTCGACTCAATGTCACAATGATCGGCCTTGTAGCAGAACTTCTCAGCACGGTGAAGATCAGTGCATACGCTGACGACATATGCTTATGAACATCCGGAAATACTCGTCCGCAATTGCGAGCTTGACTGCAGTGTGCAATTACGATCACATACAAATTTCTACGACGTCAAGGGCTCACTCATTCAATCGACAAATGCGCAGTGGTTGCGTTCACGCGCAAGCATATGTCGCAATACCCGATATTTATTTATGAGACAGCGATACCTGCTGTAACGCACCACAAGTTTCCTGGGCTTGTCGTACACAGAGATCTATCGTGGACGAGACATGTGTCAGTACTTGAATCTAAATTGAAGAGCTTTGCTCTCGTTCTTCGCCACATGGCAGGAGCAAGATAGGGCCCATCAGAATCGTCGCTACTTCAATTGTACAATGCCTTATTTGTGGGATACGTTCGATACAGCATGCCGGTGCTCTCCAATATGAGACCCAGTTGTGTGAAGACGCTATAGAGTGTTCAAGCTCAATGTTTACGGAAATGATTGGGTCTACCACACTGTACTTCAACAAATGGAACAATCGCAAAGGCTCGGGCTTGTCCCATCAGTGTATAGCTGCTCTGCGAGTCACTTAGAGTTCACCTTCGATTGCTGAGCCGACACAAACAGCACTCACTATCAGTGCTACCTGCCACTCACTCAGAGTGCAGTTTCTGAAGAGTAATATCGCGGCATGGGAATATTATACCATCAAGGTTTTCCCCGCCAAATGTCTGGGCAGTGCCTCTATGGGTGCTGCCTAAACCATCTGTTTGTTTTACGATACGTGGAATTACGAAGAAGTCGCCCATTTCTTCTGTTGGCCTCAGACAACTGACCCTATATCACATTTATACAACGTAGGGGGATTGTCTGCTCGTGTACACCAACGGGTCCACCACTCTAAACAAATCTGCCGCAGCCTTTGTCATCCCAGACATGGATATTACTCGACGATTCGAAGTGGACCACAAAACCACACGAACTGCCGCAGGGCTTGTCGCTATCAGGGAGGCAATAAGATTTGTTTCCGGAGAGCGACTTCGAGCCTGGACGATTTTCCGTGATGCCAAACCTGCTTTGAAAACCATTAATTGCATCATGAAGCAAGTTCTGTAATACAGCTTGGCAATAGAAATCACAAACTTATTCAGGTGGTTTCAACAAATGGCCATCTTATCACTTTACAGTGGATTCCCGCGCATTGTGGCGTCATGGGAAACGAAGAAGCAGACGCTGAAGATAAAAATGCCTTAAGCAGTGCCCCTGAAGTACGCATTGTGTTTTCACGAGCTGACACGAACGCCCTGATTCGCTGCGTGATGCGCAGCACACTTCAGCACTGGACCAAACCAGAGTGGCGAGACCGGCGACTTCACAAATGGGACCCGGAAATGACGTTCCGCATGCCCCCTAAATTGAAACGGCAACTCACACGTATGATCCACCGCATTCGTCCTGGTGTGACGTACACCAGACGTTACGCACATGTCATCGGTCGCAGTGACATTGGTGCTAATTGTGAACACTGTGATGTGCCAGAAACACTTTAGCACATATATATTGTATCTGCCCAGCATGCGCAAGTAAACGGCAAACACTGATTTCTTCCTCTGAACTATTTCGCAGTAGGTCATTATTTGATGAAACCGTGTTGGGCCCTTGGCCAGACATCAACAGTGCAATTGTGGTCATAAGAACGGTTATAACCTTTTTGGGAGCAACAGGGCTATATGCGCGGCTATAAAGTTTATCTCAGCTAGAAAGAGTAGTACATACCCACTTCTCTATCTCACCATCATCATCCATTAATCTGTTTCTCCCTCTCCCCTCCCCCAGTGTAGAGTAGCAGGCTAGAGCAAGCTATGGCTCAGGCCGACCTCTGCCTTTCTCTAAATAAACCTATCTGTCTCTCTCCGAACTATTAACATATATCTATCTATCTATCTATCTATCAAGCCGCCTGCGACTTTTAGCTCTCCTCGCCGTTTCGATAGTGCTATCGATACCAAACTTGTCTGTCTGTCAGTGGTTGCGACGACACACCTGGCGCGGGGTATGAAGCACATGATCAAGGTACCAGATAAATTGGTACGATTTTGACTCAGCGTGACGGTCACAATCACGGAGCCAGGCAATTGCTCGATTTCTGCCTGGAGGAGAGGACCAATTGCTCTAAAAATATTCTGTTTGAAAAAAAAAATGACAAGTGCCCTGGATTGTATGTCGGAATCTTCGTGTCTTTTTGTGTTTATGGAGCCGCATTTTCATCAGCCTGCTGAGAACTGTAGCCCATGCAAGTGATTAGTACCACTCAACTTGCGCTTTCAGGCGAGCGGGATTCTTTATTATTGTTGTGGGTCATTCTCGTGTGCAGATCACCGGACAAGCGGTGGAAGGAACTTCTATACTCCCGGGCTTAAAATACTGCGTCGACGTCGGATTTCGTGTAAGTGTGTGAGAGTGTTTTATGATACAAGTCTTCATAAGTTATCACACTGTTTCAACAAATTCGGAGCCACAAGGTAGCCACACAGTGCATCGATGTGAAACTCCTTCCAGAAATATACTTAAATCTGAATTCTAACTACGAACCTAATCGCGATTCGGCCCACAAATCGCTCACTACGCCACTCTATGTGAGCCGTTACCACGTTCCGGCCTCGGTCCGCGCGGAGCGATTTGTGAAACGAAAGAGTCCCAAATCACAGTTGGCATTCGCAGTTGTAGCTATGCTGAAATCCTAGCTTGCAGCATGAATTCTCCCCCGCCGTAAGAATACTGGCGATTGTAAGAGTCTTCCGCAATAAAGTCTCTTATGTGAATAAATCTTCAAGGAGCCGTGATAGAGGAATAAAATCTTGAGATGTACCATTCACTCGATAGCTTCGTATATTCATGTAAATTGCGTCCTTTACGTAGACGTTATTTTATATGAACTAGCATACCTAGAAATAAGCAATACGGAAAGTATCGATAAAATTACCCTTATAATTGGTCGATCTCCTTCATTTAGTACGAGTGATGTGCAGAGGAAAACAACAAGACAAATTGGGCTTCAAGGCCCGACATGCCATCTGCCCCGTACAAAACGGATAGTACTATGACGCGTTCACCATTTCTACAGGCCAAGCTTTCGACGCAGTAGAACGGGGTAGAAGTAGTGATAACTTAGACGACCGCTGTGTTGTCATTGTAGTGCCGCCTGGTGGAGACCGCCGGCAGCGGCTCCATTTCAATTATCTATTATCTTTCGCCACAAACACCTGGTTCTTAGATGCACCACTTCCCTTGATCTGCCGCACACTTCTCAGCGCGGGATAAATCAAGCCCCGATATCAACGGCATAACGCACCAGCATATCGTGAAAATCTTGTGCATAACTTATGCCTAGTTCACACTGAAACATCCGCTTTCTACAGCGACCGAAATTCCCCTGCCGCCGAAACGCAGCGTCGTTCGCACTGGACGCGCCCCGTGCCGCCGAATATGCCATCTACTACGGGGCGAACGCGGGATGGATGCGCTGTCACCCGGTTGTTGTCGCGGCTCGCAAACGCTACTACGCTATCCGGTGGTGTATACTTCGACGATTCTCGTACGCAAGAAGCAAAAAAAGAGAGTACTGCTTACTTTGCTGGCAAGTGGCTGTCTTGTAATGCACGAAGAGCGGAAAAACCACCGACGCCAGCGGCGTTGGTGGGTTCGTTTTGCTTTGCTAGACCGCAACAAGCTCGGTCACGCCAACAGCAAGCTCGAGCACCTCTTTTACGAAATACGGAGGCGAAGTAGGCACAGAGTAGGTTAAACTCCCGTTGGTTGCACATTCAGTTACGTGCACTGCAGCATAACAAGTTCGTAGGGCTTGGCCGCCATTTTTCAAAATTCCTTGACTAGCGCTCCTATTGGTCCGCGGTGACCGATTCGGCGGCAGACGCCGCAAAAATTCGGTCCGAGAGCGATCGGCGCGGAGAGGGCCCTTTCGGCGGATCTCGCCGCCGCCGAACCGGATTCGGAGCACTTTCGGCGGCCGGATTGCTCAGTGTGAACGCGGCCTTACACCAGGGTCGCTTCACGCGCAACGTTCTAGCGGTTTTGGCGAACATGTCAAATATACTCGAAATATTATCATGCTAATTTACTGACTTGAAAACGGTGAATTGCTAGAATGCCCCTGTGGTCTCGCAAACCCCACGCAGGGCAGCGCCTGCTAGCAATTTTATTGATTGAAAGAAAAAAAATGACAGATCCCACGTAAATTGGGAATCAATGATATGCGAAGCACGAATGAGAAAGGTTGAAATGTTACCTTAAAATTAACACAACGTTACCAGATGGAGGTAAATGATGCCGCACACGACTTCCATGTCATGATAATCATGTTTGTATGTCTCGTTTACATTTGTCCTCTATACACGTCCCGTGATACCAAGTTTAGTATATGGGGAGCTAGCGAAACGCCAGCGAGCACTCCATCAGCGTGGTATGTTGTCATACTCTTACATACACGCGTGTCAGGATTATCATGTTTGCACCAGTCATATAAGTTTTCATCCATTGGCGTCACATAACACCAAATTTGGTATATTTGGAGCTAGCAAAACGGCCGCGAGCGCCACATGAAGGGCCCAATATGCTCCATTGTAGCGTTGACGCACGCGCACGCTGGGCACAGCGACGCTACGTTAGTAAAACACGAGGACTCTATAGTCTTACGTCAGGCGTAACCGGTGCTACCAGCGCCCATCGGCGCAGCCCGACGGCAACCGGCGCAAAATGCGACATGCTGCATTTCGTGCCGATGCGTTACTCAGACAACACTGCGTCTCCCTCTTTTCGTGACCGAGGCATGCCCGACGTGCTAAAACACGCATGCTTCATAGCAACGCAGCGCGGCACACGCCTGCGAGTATATGGCAGGACCGGTGCCTGGCGTGGCAACGCCAGCGTGACGCAATGGAATGAACGCCCGCGATCACGTGCACCGCATCACGTTGAAATGTATTGGCGCCTTGACTGTGGCATGTAGTCTTGTTCTCACACGAGACGCATCTCATGATTATCATGTTTGCATCAGTCACATACCTTAGTCATCCATTGGTGTCACGTAACACCAAATTTGGCATATGTGAAGATAGCGAAACGGCCGCGAGCGCATCATGAGTGTAGCATGTGGTCCTGTTGTTACACGACACGCATGTCGTGATTATCATGTTTGGATGTGTTATTTACCTGTCATCCGTTTGCGTCACGTAATATCGAGTTTGGTACATGTGAAGCTAGCCCAACGGCTGCGAGCGCATCATGAGCATAGCTTGTAGTCATGTTGTTACATGACACGGCATCTCATGATTATCATGTTTGCACCAGTCACATACATTTGTCATCCATTGACGTACCGTACTACCAAGTTTGGTATATGGGAGGCTAGTGAAACGGCCACGAGCGCATCATGAGTAGGGCATGTAGCCATGTTGTTACAAGACACGCATGTCATGTTTTTCATGCTAGAACTGTCGCTTGTGTTCGCCTTGCAATCATGCCATAGCATACCAGTTTTGCAACATGCCATGTGAAACAAACCACCGCAAGAGCAGCAAGACCTTGAAGTATAAATCATGACATTCATGATATACATGTCGTGATTTTCATGTTATGACTAGACAAATATGTTATTCATGGAGTCATGTTATGCCATACCAAATTCGGTATCGATACCATTATCGGAATGCCCAGGAGAGCTAAATGTCGTAGGCGCTAAGATACATAGCTCAGATAGATAGATAGATAGATAGATAGATAGATAGATAGATAGATAGATAGATAGATAGATAGATAGATAGAAGATAGATAGAGATAGATAGATAGATAGATAGATAGATAGATAGATAGATAGATAGATAGATAGATAGATAGATAGATAGATAGATAGATAGATAGATAGATAGATAGATAGATAGATAGATAGATAGATAGATAGATAGATAGATAGATAGATAGATAGATAGATAAGCTCAAAGTCGCCGAAGTTCGCTAAGAAAGGCTTCGCATAAAAAAACGGCTGCCCGCGCTGCACAAACGCGATATTTCGCATCACCCTATGATCCTCTTCAGGAAGAATGTGTTTTTTTTTTCTGTTACTGCGCCTATCACAGCCTTGATTCACCTTCATCACTGAGAGCTACGAACTCTTGAAACAGCTTCCACTTTTGAAATAGGCTGCTGCTATTGCAAGAGACAAGTTGCTGTTACTGCTTCCTACTTGGGCGTAACATGTGGATTGTAGTGTGTACATTTATCCCTCTTCTTCCAGACAAACCAGACACAGTGGCAGTCATGATGCGGCACCATACTGTGCACGTATTAATGTTTTCAAAACTTTCTCTGAGAACTATTGGTCAATTGAATGGACTGCCTTCAACTTTTTTTGTGTGTGTGAATGTCACATTCCTGTCATAAAAAAATATGTCTATTCTTCTGTGCAAATAGCCAAGCTATTGGCATAATATATTATGTCATCTCAATATTTCAGTTGTGGCGTTATACGTTTTTCTAGAAACAAGTGTACTTTTTTCTGCAAATGTATATTTAATCGTCGTAAGTAGTATGTACTTTTTAGTGGCAATGTTTACTCAAGCCTGCTGCATAAATTGTTCACTTTTTCCCCTATAGTTCCCTTTTTTCACACCTTATGGCTGGTCTACAGACTACAGTATGTACCAAATGAATGAATAAGAAGATAAAAATGCTGAACAGCCTTATTTCAAGAATTCTCTAACTGGGACCGTGTACATGGTTTTATTACGTGGAGATTTTATAGGGCGTAACAGAAATGGCTTTGTTTTACGACTCTATGTGGGTGTGCATGAATACTGACGTTGGCGTAACAAAGAAAAAATCAGCATATCAGTGAACGATGATGTGTGGGGTGAAGCTTCGGAAGCTTTTATTGGTAAGCCGTGAATGGCCCGTCCATCCGTTCATCCGTCCGCCTGCCTGCCTGCCTGTCTGTCTGCCAGCCTGCGTGCCTGTCTGTCTGTCTGTCTGTCTGCCTGATTGGTTGTTGATTGATTGGTTGACTCATTGATTGATTGATTGATTGATTGATTGATTGATTGATTGATTGATTGATATGTAGGGTTTAACGTCCAACAACCACCACTTTCTGTCTGTCTGGGTATGTGTTCTTCTGTCTGTTGGTCTGTCCATCCGTCCATTTATCTGCACTGGCTGTCTAAGTCATCAAACTAAATGGTGACGTACGAGCTAGAAGGGACACCCACAGCTTTAGGGGAATCGCCCATAAAACAAACATATTTTCCCAGAATCAATCTATACGCAAAATATTTTATTCAGCAAGAGGGCAAGGCAATTTCTTTGGTGTTCAAATGACTTTGTGAATGGAGACGATTTTATTGCTTTATACCTACATTCCAATGCAATAGAAAAACTGATATTGTATATTTTAAGAAATTTATTGTAGGAAAGAGAAGTTCTTGCATAGTTGCTCTGCTAGATACCTAAGACGACAATGACTGTACACCATCACTCACTACAATATTTTCTTTTCTTTGTAGTGTTCCTTCAGGAGATGCTGCCCTCCATACGGCTGTCAGCACCCTATATACCGATGCATCGTGCCGTAGCCTGTGCTTCTCAAAGAGGAAGTCGATCGTTAGATGCACAACTTTTTTTTCATCAGCAGTCCTCAAAATGAACATTTACAGACAGTTTCACAATAAATTTTGTCACCAGTTTTTTTCTGTCAGCTGTATTGCACCAAGCAAATTTTGGCACCCATGCAAATGCAAATGGCAAGGCCACGATGGAACCAGTGACTTTCGGATTGTACGCGACTGCCTCAAATCTTCTAAGTTTTGTTTTATTTCTTTATTTTTGCGTGTGTTGTGTCGTGCGAGTGTCCATTGGTCACTTGAGGGGGGCCGTCCTCCTTGTTTACGGGCATCAGCGATCGGCGAGCCCCCCAGTGCTGCGGGCACCGGGTCAGCACAAAGGCGGCAGCCCGCTTCATTGCACCTTGCAAATTCGGGTGCAAGAAGAGGGAAACATGCCGCTTTGTGCATCCATGGCCTGTGGGACGTTCGACACTGCTTCCCCGAATGGCGAAGCGACGGACTTCCCCCACTGACTTCGTGGAACAATTTGTGCGCGTGTGTGTGTGTGTGTGTGTGTGTGTGTGTGTGTGTGTGTGTGTGTGTGTGTGTGTGTGTGTGCGCGCGAAGTGCGTGCGCGTTTGTGTCAGCGTGCGCGTGTGTGTGCTCGAATCTGTGGTCGAGAGAGGAGAGCGAGAAAGCGCGGGAAGAGCCAGAGACGCAGCGAGAACGGCGAGCGAACAAGTGTCTGCGAATAGCGAGCGACTTGAGCGGTTGTGCGTTGTGCTTTGTGCGGAATTGAATGGTTGCGCGAGTAATATTGTAACCTAGTTTTCTTAACTAAATGCAAGCTTCTTTTGTTTACTATTTTCTTAACAGTGCGTGAGTCGTGTGTTGTGTCTTCTATCATATTTCACCTTTTTACGGCCATATCTGCGACACCCTAAGTTTTACCAAAAGCGGGATAGAGGACGCTAACAGGATCAGCATCCGAGCACCGCAACTAGTTTATCAACTCTACAGACGGGATGCCCATTCACTACACGTGGTACAGTCGTTGAAAGTAGAGAGCGGCGGAGCTAGCGTTCGTGGCCCTTCTTGGAGGGACGCTAGTCCTTCAGTGACGGTGTTTATTACGCATTGAGGATGCAGGCCACGTCAGCTCGGAAAACGGCTTTCTGCTCACGTCGAACTCAGTCACTGCCCGATGATCATATAAAGGTTGATCGGTCGATCTCACGACGTCACGTAAGCGCGTGAGATCATTTCGGCGCCAAAAATATTGTTACTGAGCCTGTGTACGAGCGCAGCAACTTAAGAAGAAATGAAGAAAAATTAGCTTGAGTGGCAGTTTGATTGCAACCTTGTGTTACTATCAGCTCACTTCCGCTGTCGCAATGCCACCTGATAGGCTGCCTTAAAATTAGCAAAAGACACATATGAAGACATGAAGGTCACTATTTTATTCTACATATCAGCTAATACGTGGCGCCGGCAGTTTTACAAAAAAAATGTTTTGCCCGGTAACGCTCGAAGTGTATGTAATCAACATGCTGTCGTTTGCCGCCTGTGTTCTCAGCTCGCTTTTCGGAATTAACTATACCAACCGACTCTGTTGCATAAAGTTTATTCGGCCGCACTTGTTTTGAATGGAAGTGAAGTATCACTTACATGCGAGAAATGGAGTCGCATGCACTACAAAGTCTCAATGTTAAGGCACACTTTACCAGCGTTTCGCACCGGCATTCACTTGTGAGTAATGCGTGCCATGTGCGCCTACGTAGTCAAAGTTTGACGAGACTGTGTAGGGTCGTTCTTTTTTTTAAAGTTCAATCTTTCCTTTATCTTGTATATGCTGCCTCTTTCATTGTGTATACGATCATTTGCTGCTTCTTTAACGCCTGTCACGTCATCTGTCTGCTTGTGTGACACCCGCCAACTTTTCAGTCCAATCGCTCATTGTGAAACCAATTACGCACATGCACGACGCCTCACCTGCCTCAGCAGCTTACTCACGCACGCGATTGATTGCATGAGAAGCCGTGTGGCATTAGCAGACACGGAACAGCTGATAGGGTAAATGAGACGTGCAGTGATCTCCTATTTAACAGAGCAGGCTCGAATCAGTTCTCCATGCAGAAGAAACAATTTCTGCAGCGACCGAACGTTCTGGCTGCTTCAAAGGGACACTAAAGTCAAATAACAATTTATGTCAGAGTGAAAACTGTGACAACATATCAAATGACAATGTTATCAACAACAGTGCCTCACTTACCGAGAAATTAAGATAAATGCTCAAGAACAAAAGCGCCGCAGTAAGACACTATCAAAATAATTCCGATGACATGAGATGGACCGCTTACAATTAATCACTACTAATCGATCTAACTGCACTAAATAAAAAAACCTGCCACGCATCAAGAGACGCAATAAAATGCTGCTTGCTCATTTATCTTTGATTATTAGAAAAACAAACCGCCGGACGTTACTATGGGGACTGGCGTGAGTGATTCGAAAATTCAATTTTCACATGGTTACAAGGGACAGGTCATGTCATCTAGCGGGGCGCAGTTGAAACAAAAGCGTCTGCAATCTCGAATTCAATAGAAGAAAACTGAGTATTGGCCGTTGTTGCTGCTGTGGCTCCCGCTGCTTTCGGTCTTCTGCTACTAGCGCAGTGAAGCTGGGCGACGTTCTGCACGGCAACGGTGACGTGAGTCGGTATGACTCGGTCCGCTTCTTAAGGCGGGTAACTTGAAGTGCACTAACGCTATGCGGAGCACTAAAACGTGACTTTATTTCAAAATAAGCCCTTTCTTAGAACAAAAGTAACACTACGAGGTTTCTGGACCGCCATTTATAGACAATCAACGTCAACCTAATAGGTTTCTTTAGTGTCCCTTTAACTGTGCGGCAAGATATGCATGCGCCATGTGATTCAAGAGAAATTGATTATATTTCTGTGAAAACCATCACAACGAGCCCAAGAGAAGTTCTCCCATTAATCTGTACGCAGAGCCTGCGTGGCATGTTATGCCAATCCAGCCCTCAGAGGCCATTTTATTAAGAAGTTGATTTGTTTGTGTGACTCCACTGTCTTCGTTACTTTTTTGACATGTTCTGGTGGCTGCTCTAATTTTACTCAAAGCTTCGCATTGTGTATGCGAGAAGACACAAATCACGTATATATGTTTAAGGATCTTGAGCATCGGCACTGCTACCCTGGCAGGACCTCGGCTAGTAGAAAGCAGAGGAAGACGAGGCGGAATAAAGACTGCCTTCCTGGAATACGGGTGTTGTGTCTTATGGCATGCCGTTCATGTCGACAAACGTTGTCCACACGTCCTTGACTTTGTACCCATTCGTCATCAGCACAAGGGTCACCATGCACTCCACGATCGCCACCCAGGGCTTGTCGGGTGCCTCGGTCAGCAATTGTGCAGAATTCTCGCGCATGCTGCAAGAACTATCCTATCGACTGCGTGATTGTAAATAAACTGAGATAAATAACAGCCAGCCTGCAGCTTGGACCTTGCATCTTTGTCTCATTTCATTTACAATGGCTTGTCTAAACTTAACATTTCATGGTCCCCAACGTTCCGGTGCGACAGAACGCCGACAGCACGTCAAGAAGTGCGACTGGGCGATCATCGCAGCCACCTTCCCGCGCCGAGTATCCCCGGCTGCCCGCTAAATACGCCTTCTGCACAGAACGTTAATTTGCACCACGGCTGAGAACTGCGGCCGCAACGAGGCCGTCATTGTCGGCCAACTGAGAGTTTGGCACTTGACCCTATAGTGCTTCTCACAAATACCTAGAGGGAAGTGGGGTGCCACCGTCTCATGCAAATTTTTAAGGGGTGATGTTGGAGCGCTGGGAATCATGGTATATGTGTCTGCGAGGCCACAGCCCCCTATATTTCTCTTGCCTGCTCGATTATCGGCGGTCACTCAGGAAGCGGCCGTTGTTCGAAGTGCGGTGGTGGCACCACTTAGGTCGAGTTGTCTTAAAATAATTTTTTTACGTTTTCGGAACTTATATGCAACAAAAGTAACGTAAATGTTTTGAAAAGACGTGAACTTGATAATAATTATATATTGAAATACAACGGTTCAGCTGATGCTTTATTCAAGCAACAGCAAGATGGCGCCGATGATGAAGAGGAACGGGGATGATGGTTATTGACAGATGAGGAAAATGACGTCCAATGAATTCTTACACTAATTTTCCCCGTCGACGGAAGCGGCCAGCCTGGCCGCGAATCACGTTGGGGAATGCATACGATAGGGCTTGAGATGCGAAACGTGCACAATCTCTGTCCCGCGGCAGCGTTCGTCAGCGGGGACATGAACAGGTGTGACAAGGTAGTTCACCGGTGAGGTCTGTTCGACAACGTTGTAGGGGCCAAGATGGCGTGACTCAAGCTTCTCGCATAAGCCAGGCGTTCGCGCAGGAGTCCACAGAAGTACATCGTCGCCAGGGCGGTAGAGAACGACGCGGTGAGTGGCATCGTAACGATGTTTTCGATTTTCTTGGCTAGCTTTGGTGTTTACATGGTCAAGACGACGGCATCAAGCAACACGGGACAGAAACTGGTGGCAAACGAATGGTGAAGAGTTGACGGGGCCAGAAAAGAATGAAACATCGAGTGGTGATGTTGGTTGCCGTCCCTATACTAGAAAAAATGGAGAATAGCGTGTGGTTCGTTGAACTGACGTATTATATGCATACGTGACAAAGGGAAGTATGGCATCCCGATTGCGATGTTCCGGTCGGATATACATGGACAGCATGTAACACAGCGTGCGATGAAATCTTTCCGTTAAGCCATTGGTTTGTAGGTGATAGCTAGATGTTGCTTTATGAACTGTCTTTGATGCTTGAAGAACTTCACTGCCTTGCTCCGGTCGCTCAAAAGAACACGAGGGGCTCCGTGACGTAGGTAAATAGCATTCAAGAAGAAAGTTCCTACTTCCGAAGCAGTTCCTGAAGTGATCGAGGCCGTCTCAGCGTACCGGGTCAAGTGATCAACGGCGGTGACGATCCATCTCTTGCCGTCTGATGTAGTTGGGAGGGGCCCGAAGAAGTCGATTCCGACGACAGAGATCGGCTCTGATGGACAAGGAAGTGGTTGTAGGGTCCCG